CTCATCAGAATTATCATGAATTTGACTCTTAAGGCAATAGTTATTTTCTATCAACTCTTCCATAGTGGTACTCAAACAAGGCTCAACAATTTCTAAATACTCATGCTTATCAATAACAACACTTCCAGTACAAGAGAATGAATCATTAGCAAGTGCATAATCATCTATAGTACTAGGAAGAGAAGCATGTTTATTATTCAATTCATCACATAATGAAGTAAATTCATTACAACCAGAGGTTACATATTGGGCATTTGCAATGTCAACCAATTAAGGGGATTCACAAACAATCTCTTCATCCACCTCACTATCACCTAATTCAAGAGTTTTATTAGGCAAAATAGTAGAAGAGTCTACTTCTATAAGAATAGGATCATTACTAAATAATAGTAGAGACTCTTCTTCATTCCTTTGTAGTTTCTGTACTTCTTGTGCTTGAGTAGGTCCACTGGGTTATAGGCGTAAGAGGTGGGGAACTTTCCATCCTTGGTATGATATTTGACTCTTAGTCATTAAGTTCTTGTTCCTCTTCTTCCTTTAAATCATCTGAGTCATAGGGCCATAGAGCTCCTTCCTCTCTTTCTGTCTTCTTCGAGAGCACATGATTGGTAAAGGCTTTAATCCAACCCTCAATGTCCTCTAATCTTTCCTTTTCTTCTTTGGATATCCTAAATAACTCTTTGCTTCTAGACAACTCAAAGAAGTCAATCTTTAGAGCGTCATATATCCCTCTTAATTTCTTTGTTTGATCATCCATGTTTGGTATGATGAGAAATGAGTCGAGACCACAAGATTGAGGTTGAGACTCAAGGTGGGGTGGAGGAAAAGGTTCATGATATTAAGGAGGATATGGATGGAATGATGGTAAGGGTTCATGGAATATTTGGTGTGATAACGAACGGTATTTGTTGTAGGGTTCATGTGATGGAAAGTTTGGTTCCTGATATAGATGATGTGATGGAAAGTGTTCAAAGTATGGATTGTGTGGCGGAGGTGAGAAGTCATAATGTGGCTCTGGTGGTGGATGTTGGTTCAGGTGTGAATGGAATGAAGGGGTATAGTAAGGGGAATGTAGAGGATCATTCATCCAATCATAGCCATGGTCATAATTAGGATAGGGTGTATCATGTCCTTGGTAGGTCCCACCTTGTTCTCTATGATCCATACGAGCCAGAAGAAGATCAAGTTTTTGTCGTATGATAGTAAGCTCTTGAGAGAAGTCACCTCCTATCTCAGTGTTATTTCTTATAAAAGAGGAAGATTGATAAGATGAATCTAAATTAGAATTGAACCAATTCATAAGAAAGCAAAACAATCAATTCCCAAAGAATTCTTAAGACTTAGAAAAATTTTGGCTAAGCAAGGATTTTCGTTGAGGCAAGACCTGAGTTGGTCGCAACAAAATATTTCACCAAAGCAAACTCAGAAGAAAAATGAAAGTTCGTCGTGGCTAGGCAAGTATTGGTTGCGATGAAATTATTGGCAGAATCGACCATAGAATAGAGCAACAACAGAAACAACGGTAGAATGAAATTAAAAGGCACAAACACTATGCAAAGCCTCCAAAATTTTAGAACAAACTCAAAAATACAAAGAATGCTATGAAGTGCATGAAACTATATGCAAAAAGAAAACCAAAATCAAGGTCTTTGTTTGTATATCTCAAAATTTTTATGCAAAGCAAAATCTATTATGCACAATGCAAAAATGTAACCTAAGAGGCTTATAAACCCTCAATCAATCAAAGTTGACAATTAACTAGCCTAGGGAATCAATTTCTTGGCTCCCCGGTAATGGCCCTAGTTTAATGAAGCCTTAGTCGTTATGAGCTCTCAAAAACAATTTAGTTCCGGATAGGAATGCATTACAGTGGCACAATCCAAGTCGTGTTCACTTCAAGGAGCCTGAAATGTTCCTATGTGATTTAAGTGACAAAACCTTGCGAAAAGGTAAAATTGGGGGGTTTGTAAAACTAAATTAAGTTGCAATTGAAAGAAGTCTTTTTGGTCTTTTTTTAAATAAATTAAAATAGTAATAAAGAAAGTAATTAAATAGATATTTTGTAAACTCAATTGATAAAAATGCTCTTTGGAGAATTGATTAAGCCTTCATCACTTCAAAATATGTTGGGAGTTTACTTTAAAACCAATCTTAGCTAGTTTAGAAAACCTTTCAAATTTGGGTAAATTAGTATATTAATGAAATCTTTGACCCAAAGAATCACAACAAAACTAACCATCTCGTGAATGCACACTTGGTGAGATTGTTCAATGGTAATAACAACTTCAACACAATAACCAATTATGCTAGCAAGGCACCACATTTAATCAAACCAAATTTAGATTGCACATCAACCAATATTCACATGACTAAACATAGGATTCTCATTACAAAACAGATACCAAAGCGTAAATGCTCAACATCCAATCCAAAATGCAAAGACTATAACACTGAAGTTCAGCTTTAACAGCAACACAAAAATTCTAACCAAGAACAACTGAAATGCTATTAAAGTAATGGAAAAGATGAAATAAAAGTCCCCAAATTAGGTCCCAAGCTTAGGCCTTCATCAAAACTCCTTAGGGCAAAACGTTTTAACTTCTCATGACTTCAGATACAACTCCTCCAAGCTCTGAAATCACAGCACCAGTCATAGTAGATGAAGATGGATGATGGATGATGCAGAAAAGTGATATAATGAGGTAGACAAGGGGTGAAAATTAGTGGGAATCAATAAGAAAACCTCAAGAACCCTTGAAGAACCCTAAGAGATGAAAGTGGGAGTGTGTGGATGTAGACTAGTGGCTAGCTCGTGTGATATGTTTCCCAAAATCGCAATCTGAGGTTTAAAACCTGATTCTATGTTAGCGCTATTTTTGTCGTGACTAAATTTCCCTTTTGCACGACCAAATGGTCAAAATAAGCAATTGTATTTAGTTCGCCTCTTTTTTGGAATTCTTGGAATCTGTTAGGCCTTAACTGTAATTTTCTTGAACTTAGGTCCTGTGGAGATATTTTCATTTGACTCTTGACCCGAAATTCAAAGTAAACACTTTTAGACATTTGCACTCCTGAGCAAATTAGGAGCAGAAATAGCAAGAGCTATGAGAAGAGTAGAGTCGGGCACAAACGATAACAAGTGCTCCTAAACCAATAAAGCATGCATCAAAAACCAAAGGTAACTCAACTAACCCATGGGATGAAAGCGACAAGTCAAAAAATAGTATTCTCTCATAAGCAAAAATAGTAGGAAAAACCATGCAAAGCGATTAACGAAAACAACCAATCAATCAAAGGGAATGAGCATCGAAGAACACTCAAAGGGTGAAAGTGTATCGCTCAACTCACCTTAATTGGGTTATTTTCTCTCAAATCCACTTGACAAAACAATCTACCATAAGCTTGTAATGGTTCTACTATCTCCACTAAGAATGCAATGATGCAATAGATCAAAAGAACTTTAAGGGATGTGATGATGAATGAAGACTAAGTGGAATGAATGATAGAATGAAAGAAAACAAGTACCAATATCCAAAATTGATTTCCAACTAGCTTTATATTGAAATTCTTAAAGCACAAAACTTTAATCTTCAACCCACAAAGGAATTTTCCTTATTCAAAATTTTTATTCTATGGATCCATTTTTTTTCTTTTTGACTGAACATTTTGGCAATTCCAAATCCAAGAAGATAAAATACAACATCACAAATGTAGTAGTAAAAAAAATATAGTTGGAACTTGAATAAACCATACATGTTTTGGTACTTAACTTTGAAGAAGGCTCAAAAGGGTGAAGAAGGGTTAAATGAAGTAGCTTGTGTTTGGGTAAAGGGTTTAAAAAATACCCTACACATATATTTGAACAACTATAAAGTAGCAAAATAACAAATGTGATTGGATAATTTTACTTTATCTAAGTTTTGTCCTTATTTTCTATTGGTCCCGGAACCTTACCAGAAATGGATTTCCAAATTAGAATGAGACAACAAGAGCAATGACTATAGTTGCCATGGCACCACTCTATCCCTCTTGGATATAGAGTCGGGAAAACAGGTCGAGCCCGTCGGGCCGGCCCGTTTAGGCCCTGAAATTATGAGGGTCGGGCTTGATATTTTTCCCTTCAAATGGGAAATAAGCCCTGAAGGGCTGTGGGCCAGCCGTTTTAAGCCCTTTTATAATTTTTTTTGTTTTTTAATTTTTTTAATATAATTTTAATGTTATTAATTTTTTACATTGTTAATAATATTTCAAATATTTAGTTATTATTATCATTTTAAAATTAAATTTAGTGTTAGACAATAATTTATCCAATTAAATTTTTAAAAAATGGGTTAATTTGGACTTTAATAATGATTTGGTTTATATTATATGCGTTGATATTTTTAAACTATATATATATATTTGATAATAGAGTATTTTTATATTTATATAACTTGCGATTCTATAATTTGAATTAGGAATTCATGAGTTTCAACAACAATGTTTCTCACATTAACGTAAAATAATAGTTAGATTGTAAAATTTAAAAGTAAAATTTCTATAAAGAAGAAAAACTTGATATTTTTGTTACGAAAGAAAAGCATACTTATGAAGAAGAGTAATTAATTATAGTGATGATGAAGTTTCAAAAAATTAATGATAGTGTTTATTTATTGCACAATTGCACTATAGATAAAACTTTTGGATGTTGTTATCTTGTTAATGAATATTTTAGATGTTCTTAGATGTTGATGGATATTTATATATGATAATATTTTATATTTTTGACTTAAATTTTATTCATATTTATGTCTTTTTTTAATAATTTCATTGGGTTATTTTTATTTTTTGTAAAAAATATGATAAATATAAAAAATAGTATTTTTTTTCCCTTAAACGGGCCAAAAGCCCGCGAGCCGGCCCTGAGCCCTATAGCTTAAGGGCCGGGCCTAGCAAATTGAAGTATTTTTAAAATTTCAGTCCTGAAGGGCTGGTCCTTTTAAACCCGTCAACCCTGAAGGGTCGGTCCTGCCCAGCCCTAATTCCCACCTCTGCTTGGATACCCAAATGCAAACGCAGGAGCCAAGGGAGAAATAACTCCTTCAATGGCCAAAGTAGCCTTCGAAGACTAAAACTACCACCTTAAGCTACTCTGGCCCACGCTACCCTGAGCCCCGTCATGCCTGTCCTAAGGGATGGGTCCTCTTCTGTCAACGTTCGTGCGCTTCTAGCGACTAGATTGATTGTAAAGACCAAAAAAAAGCAAAGAAAGATAATTCTGTTTGTAATGGGTGTGGAAAATATACAGACCCTAAAAATTTAATGAAATAATCATTTCATTCATATTTAATATTTTAATTAATTATTGTAGATCGCATCAGGTGAAGTGGTGGCGTGGTGAGGTTTGTGATGATTGCTTAGCTTTGAGTGCTGAGTTCAATCCTCTCTTAAGTCGAGGTAATTTTAATGCAGAGGAGAGGGCTCAGTTGCCTCTAAAGAAATACCTAGCACCCCAATCTGGCTGTCGTCGTTCTCCACCATACTTCCTGTCGTCGCCAGCGTGTATCTCGTGCTCATCGCCATCGTCGTCGACAACGTTGTTTCTTCTTCCTTTGCGATTGCTCTATGTGCGCGCGCTTCTTTCTTGGTTCTTCAACGTCAGACTTGCATCTCTATCTTGTTGCTTTGTTTGTAGAAGTGAAGTTTAGATTCAGCTATTCAGTTTCTCATTTCTTCCACACAGGTTCAGCGTAAGGTATGCCCAATCATTTTTCTTGATGTTGTTTGCTGCTGGCTGAAAAAGTTGGATAAGAAATTGGTTATAAGGAACCAAGTGAATTGGGTGCTGTTTATTTGTGATTTAAAGATGAATCTTGTTAATAAACTTTATTTCAAACCTGATCAGTTTATTTGGATACTTTAAAGCTATATAGTTGATTTTATTCTATGAACTATGGTATTTATTTTGGTCTTGATATTAGGTTGCAAGCAAGGTGTTTGATGGAGTGACTGAGAGAGAAATTGTAAGGGGTATTGTATATATTATGAGGAACCTGCTCTGCTTACTTGAACCTTTACGTGTGCTAGATAGATTTAATTTGATGGAAGATATGTTCTTCCCTTTATGGGGTAGTAATTATGAGTTTAAGATTATATGATTGTGGGTGCAACGATAAACTAAGATTTGGCAAGAATTTATTTTATTCAAGTTTATTAGGTCATGAATGGTTTTAATCCTATCTTGGGTTACTGAAAATTGTTATCAGATGACGTAATGGAGTATTGCAGATTAAATGAAGTGCTTTAAGGTGTTGTGAGTAGATTGTACCTTATGGCTTTACTAAAAAGCTCAAATGAAAGTAATGAATTATTAGAAAATTACTTAGTTGATAATTCAAAGATTAAAGTTGCTGAAATTCTATGTGGGAATATAATTAGGTATAGATGTTGTATGGATATATGTAATTATTGTGGAGGTTAAGCTTGGATTACTAAATTAAATCTTGAAGCACATATAAAACAAATGATGAGAAATTTTCTTTATGTTTGACTCGGTTTTTGTTGGAATTATTGTCGGCAACAATACATGTATACTATTATGGAGGTATATTATTGTTTAAACTAATATGGTATTTCACATGGAAGATGTTAAAAGTAAGATTTTCGTTTCTATCTTTCTAAATTGTTGGGATTATAGATTTTGGTTGTGTTGTTATAATGTTGGAGATTTTGTTTAATAAGTTACAAAAGTGGAAAGAAAAAAAATATTACAATCAGATAGATAAGAGTAAGTTATAGGTTGGAAATCAACACATCATATCGTCACATTTAAATTACAAACAAATGTTCTCTTATCAAATGATTTATATTTACATTTTATGTAATTCACATATATAAAAATATATTTCTAATTTATGATATATACACACGCACCCACACACACACACAGCATTTTGTCATTCAAAATACTTTAATTTAATTTTGATGGAGACCCAATACTTCTCGAAAGGATATATTCATTGTTTACATAGAATGAAAGGTTTATTTGTGAATATCTGTCCTTCTGCATTTGATTTTTAATGAAAGTTCATTTATATATTTATTTTTGTGACTTAGATGCTTCATGTAGTCTATAGGTAAGATCCCTATTTCCTTCTGATAGATATATACATATGCATATATATATATGCTTTTATGGAGCAATGCTTCACTTGCGGCATTGAACCATATGATTGGTGTAGAATTTTCAAGAAGACTGATTTACAAAGTAGACTTTGGCAAAATTTCTGTGAATAGCTTAATGTTTTGAGTATAAGAAATATGTTTATTTATGATTTAGAAATGGTATATGCATGTTGAAGACTATAATAATTACTATGTTAGATATTTGAATATCTATTTAAAGACTTAAGGACTATAAGTTTTCTCCTATTCTGTGCCGGTCACCCTTAAATTTTCACGGCATGACACTCATGATTTGTAGGCCGAGGTTAGAGGCATGGCATGTTCAGCCAATGCCTCTATCTTTAACACTCAGCTCCTTGCCGATAAGTATGGGTCTCAACCGCTAAAGGTATTCTTCTCCTATTGGAACCTTATTTTGTTGGATGAATTCCAAATAATTTGCATGCTAAATTTGTTTCTTCATGAATTTCTTCAATTTTAGTTTTTTGTTACTTAAAATGCCTGAACTATTCAGAGTAGCCCTTCCTCTACTTGAATGCAAAATTTAATCGAAATCCAGAAGTGTCAAACAATTTTATAAACAGCGTTATAAAGATTTGATGTTTCATCTCAAATGTAAGTAGAATATTTAAGAATTTTAATCATGAAGTGACAAAAGTGAATGAAGTCATTTGAGGATGACCAAATTGAAAGTCCCCTTATCCAGGAACCAGAGTTCCATGAAAATTTCAACTCTTTTTTCTTATCACTGTGTATGGGCGGAATTGGTATGTGGGTTGATTCGACCCTTTTTGTATATTTAATAGGTGTTGGGAGGGACCGTGGAAATTATTTCTGATCCTTCATACAAGCTCCTCTCCAAATGCAAAAGCATTCAAACCCTCAAACAAATTCACTCGTATGCCATCAAGACTGGCATCTACAAAACCCCCTTGGTACAAAGTAAGCTCATCCAATTCTGTGCTGTTTCGCCTTTTGGTGACCTCCCTTATGCTCTCTCATTGTTCCAATCCATTGAAAAACCAAACTTGATCATGTGGAACACAATAATTCGAGGTCATTGGTTGAACTCCTCTCCAATTTTGTCCATACAAGTTTATGCTCGTATGCTGAATTTTGGGGTGGAGCCAAATTCTTATACTTTCCCATTCCTTCTCAAGTCTTGTGCTAAAATCAGGGCTATCCATGAAGGGAAACAGGTACATGCTCATATTTTGAAACTTGGGTTTGCATCAGATGCCTACGTGCATACTTCGCTTATTACTATGTATGCTCAGATTGGGGACTTGGATGATGCTAGATTGGTCTTTGATAGTAATATTATACATAATGTTGTTTCTTTCACAGCATTGATCTCTGCGTATTTGTTAGAGGGTTATGTGGATGATGCTCTACACTTATTTGATGAAATTCCAGTAAAAGATGTAGTGTCATGGAATGCCATGATTGCAGGCTACGCCCAAAGTTATCGCTTTGAAGAAGCACTTTCTTGCTTCCGTGAGATGCTAAAAGCAAATGTGTCACCTAATCAGAGTACTTTGGTAACTGCTCTTTCATCTTGTGCTCAATCAGGATCATTGGAAATGGGAAAATGGATAAGCTCTTGGATTAAGGAACACGGTTTTAGTTCAAATCTTCAATTGACTAATGCTCTTATTGATATGTATTCAAAGTGTGGTGAGACTAATACTGCTAGAGAATTATTTGATGGGACAGTTCAAAAAGATGTGATTTCTTGGAATGTTATGATTGGTGGTTATTCTCATATGAATCTACACAAAGAAGCCTTGTCACTCTTTCATCTCATGGTTAGATCAAACATGAAGCCTAATGACATTACTTTTTTGGCCATTCTTCCAGCATGTACTCACCTCGGTGCTCTTGACCTTGGCAAGTGGATCCATGCATATATAGATAAAAACTTTAAGAACATGAGCAATGTTTCTCTTCAGACAAGTCTCATTAACATGTATGCGAAATGCGGTTGCATTGAGATGGCAGAACAAGTGTTCAAAAGTATGAATTATGCAACTGTTGCTTCGTGGAATGCAATGATATCAGGTTTAGCCATGCATGGACATGCAGAGAAGGCTCTAAGGCTCTTCTCTAAAATGGCCAATGGGGAATCCCAACCTGATGACATCACATTCGTTGGAGTTTTATCTGCTTGTAGCCAAGGTGGTTTGGTAGATCTTGGATGCCAGTATTTTGAATCAATGGTCCAAAATTATAAGATTGTACCAAAGCTTCAACACTATGGATGCATGATAGATCTACTAGCTAAAGCAGGGAAATTCGAAGAAGCACAAAATCTAATTAAAAATATGGAAGTGGAGCCAGATGGAGCTATCTGGGGTTCTCTGCTTAATGCATGTAGAGTTCATGGACATACTGAGTTAGGTGAATATGTTGCAGATCACCTCTTTAAATTAGAACCTGAAAATACAGGAGCATATGTGCTTTTATCAAACATATATGCAGCAGCAGGAAGATGGGATGATGTAGCAAGAATAAGAACCAGATTAAATGACAGAGGAATGAAGAAAGTTCCTGGTTGCACCTCTATTGAGATTGATAGTTTTGTTCATGAGTTTCTTGTCGGTGACAGAAGTCATCCCGAGAGTGAAAATATATATGAAATGTTGAATGAGATAGATAAGCGTTTAGATGCTTCTGGGTTTGTTCCTAATACATCTGAGGTACTATACGACATGGATGAGGAGTGGAAGGAAGGGGCTTTGAGCCAACATAGTGAGAAGCTGGCTATTGCCTTTGGTTTGATAAGCACGAAGCCTGGGACAACGATTAGGATTGTGAAGAATCTCCGGGTTTGTGGAAATTGCCACTTGGCTACGAAGCTAATATCAAAGATCTTCAATAGGGAAATAATTGCAAGAGATAGAAACCGGTTTCACCATTTTAAAGATGGTGTTTGCTCCTGTAATGACTACTGGTGAAAATCTGTCCCTTGGAGGAATAACAAATGTAGAAAGATAATTGGAATATTCTATCTCATATGGACTCTTGTTATTTTGTCGTGCTTAGTTGTTAAAATGGTACGTGTACTTGTAAACAGACCTATGAACATGTGATTTTTTTTTATCAGAACTTGTCAGAATGTAAATTTTGTTCGTTTTTACTATGTTAGATCTCAAAATGGCTGGCTAAAAAGACTCAATTAACACTTGCTTTTCATTTTAATAACCGGGGTTATTTTGTATCAACTTCGTTTCATTTAGGCCAAAAGGCTTGAATGAAATTTCATAACCTTATGGGTTTCATTGAAAATCAAGTCCCATTTATGGAGCTGATATGAAATTCTCCCTCGATATTTAAGGTGCCAAAATCATGGCCATTCATGCAAGCTCATTTGAGCATTTTGAAGTTTTAACTCTTGGTTAGCTAATCTTTCTCTGGGATTTGATAACAAAAAGGTACAAAATGCGTCTTATATTGATAACTAATCTGTGAAAATTATATTATAAAATAGATCTTATATTTAAAACTAAGTTATTCCTTAATATAAGATATAGATAACTAGTCAGTGAAAATTAAAAAATCAGTTAAATTAGTTATTTGTAATAAATGGATGGTATCTTTCATAAAATACTATTATCAATTATATGCATTGAAATTATTCTTTCATGAAACTTCTTTAACATTTGCAATCAATACAAGGACTATTTGAGAGTAAAAATAAATAAATATTGAAAATAGAAAATTAGAGTCTTATATTCAAAACAAAATTGAATTCCCAACTAACTTTTTTTTTTTTGGAGCTGACAACTAACTCTTATATTAGGGACTGGAGGTAATATGTGAAAATAGTAGATTTGACTAATTAAGTACTCAAAAGTTATATACAGTGTTCTAGTTAACACTGCCCCACGGGCAGCACAAAATGTTGGTTAGACCGATGATAAGATAATATATTATTGGCGTCTACTTTGTGAATTAGCAGCGTTCACTTTAATTAGATTGCTTTTTTATTATAAATAAATAAATGATAATAATATTATCTTTTTGAACATTACTTCTTTTTAATGTTTTACTAACTTACAATGTCAATAAATAATACCTTTCATGTTTATATTATATATTCTAGCTATATGTATTATTATTGTTAATTTATTGTATATCTTTGATTTCCGTCTGTGTAATGAAAATTTTTTATGACAATTTCTCGCCAAACATGTGATAGAAACGAGCATAATAATGGCCAATAAGTAAAGGCCAAAAGAAGATTATCTTAGGATTAAAAAAAAAGAAGAGAAATTCCACAAAAAGACCTTTAAAATGTATAAAATATAACTCAGGGTGTTGAATTTGCATAATACGATATCGGGGTGGCTAGACTAATTTGGAATATTAAAATATTGCTAAAAGACACTACTACCCCTAAGTTATATAGAAAAGATGAACATTGTAGATAGAGTTGTTATTGATGAATCAATTTTTGTTAGTAGCTTATCTGTTTTAAGCAATTCCTGAAAAATTGTTGTCATTCATTTTCATGTTTTAAGGCTTTAATGTTTTATCACTTTAATTTTAGGGAGAATTACAATGAGGTCCCACATAATTAAAAAACAAGTCCCAGAAGTTGTCATTCTCACTGTAGGACTTGTTATTACAGTCTGCTCAGGTTGTTACTTGAGACTTTGTAGTGATTATTTCTCTTATGTGGGACTTGAATGTAATTCTCCCTTAATTTTATCCCATTGTGAACTATCAATAAAATTTTTTATTAAAAAATTAATTTTTATTAATAGCTTATTCGTTTTAGGCAATACTTGAAAAATTATTGTCATTTACTTTCATATTTTAAAGTCTAAAATTTGTTATTAAGGAGTTAATTTTTGTTAATAGTTTATTCATTTTAGACAAAGAATTATTATCATCCACTTTCACATTTTAAGACTTTACTTTTACCCAAGTAAACCATGGGAAAAAGTTGTCATTGATAGATCAATTTTTGTCAATAGAATATCACTTTAGGTAATACTTAAAGAATTGTTATCATTCAATTCCACGTTTTAAGGCTTTAAAATGAATACGCTATTAACAAAAGTTGATTCATTAATATCAACTTCTATTGACAGTTCACACTTAGATAAAATTAAATTCTTAAAACATAAAAAATGAACAATAATAATTTTTAGACATTGCCTAAAATTAAAGTCTTAAAACATGGAAATCCACCATGCTTATAGAGAGGCACTTATGTGTGCGGATTATCTAGCGAAGAATGCTCATGCGGTGTCCAAGGAGCACACCAAAAGATACTTGACCGCCAAGCCAACCATTTTGCTTAGTCATATAACACACACAAAAATATACTTAACAAAACAATTACAAGTGTCCAAATATAAATAGTCAAGTGAAATTTGGTGATTTACAAATCAAATTCGACGGTTTGTAAGAAACATAAGAGAATTTACAACAACAAATGCAATTGTTTAGATGCAAACGAACAAGTGAGATTTGGTTTTTTACAATAAAAATTGGGTAATTTATAACTCCAAATGCAGGTGTTTAGATAAAACATTTCAAATGAAATTCAACAATTTATAACCCAAATTGAGTGATTTTTAAGAAATAGAAGGGAATTTACAACTTCAAATGCAAGTGTATAGGTATATGAATGAACAAGTAAAATTTAATAATTTACAACTAAAATTCACTAATTTACAATCCAAATTTAGCAATTTATAAGAAACATAAATATTACAAGAAACATAAGAGAATTCACAACCCCAAAAATAAGTGTTTATGTTTATTGTAAATAGCTGAATTTGTTTTATGAATTATCAAATTTGGGTTGTAAATCACTGAATTTCACTTGTTCATTTACACTTTGACACTTAGATTTGTTTTGTTCAAGGTATCAAAAACTGGACCAGTTAATGAACCGGTCGAGATAGTGGATTAAGTGTTAGTGGGTCAGATCGGAGTCAAACCGGTCATAACTAAAATGTTAAATTTAAGGTTTCAATTATAATAAAGTAAGTAGTTAAGTTTCTCTGCATTTCTGTTTAGTTCTTATCAATAACCTGTTAGATAAATGCAATGTTCAATCACCTTATCGATCAATGGGTAAACTTATCCATATATTACTATTGTTAAGCGAATATCGATCACTTGATCGATAAACAAGGTGTTCGATAAGCTATCAGGTAAAATGACAAGTTTCTCTCTGTGTTGATAAGTATTTATCAATAACCTTAGGGATAAATGAGGTTATCGATCATGTGTCAGATAATTTTTAAGTCTTTTTCAAACCATATCCTATTTAGAATATATTATGAGTTATCTATCACCTTATCGATATTCATACTTATCGATAACTTGTTCTAAAACTGAGAAAGTATGCTTGTCTACACTTCTTTGGATGTTTGATCAGCTATTCGATTAAGTTTCACTCGGTATCTCTAAACTTTCAAGCTTTAACCGATAACTTTATTGATAACCACAAATTATCGATCACTTCATCGATAGTTACACTTATTGATTACTTTATCGATCAAGGTCATTTTTTTGATGTATACTGTGTCTCTGAATGAGTTATCTTTTTCCATAGTATTTCTAACAGTTTTTCGATAAACCCAATTATCGATAACCTTTCAGATAAATCTGTTTTAAAATAGTTTTCTATAGTTACTTCAATTATCGTTAAGCTTATGGATAAAATGAATTATCGATAACTTGTTCTATAAAGCTCAATTACATTTCTTGAAATTGTTCTTTATGATATTTCTCAAAAAATATGATATTATTATCTTTAAGCTTTTCTCAGCCTTCATTAATCATCTTACACTCTTATAAAAACAGAGAAGGCACCTGATTCAAGTTACAAACTTTTCAAATTGACTTCAGAAGTATTTACGGGATAAAATCACTTTGATTACAATTCACTCCTTATTGATAACCTATTCTATATGGTGTATGATCCATAATGACTTCTATAAGTGAGTCTGTTTTTCAAATTGCCTCGTTTCCAATTAATCGATAACTTTATTGATTAAGCTACTTATTGATCAGATCTTCGATAAAGTTGATTCTTTGATTATCTGACATTTGATTTATGATTTTTACTTCATGTATTAAATCCAAGGATCATCATTTCTTCATTTATTAATTCATATACTCTTATGAAGAAAACTTATTTTTCTACTGAGAGATTTCTGCAAGTTACGAGGCTCAACAGTTATAAGCTCTTGTGCCTAACGAAAAGTTGGAAGTCTCTGAATATAAAAACCGTGAAGAGCATTGAATGAAGTGGTGAATAAACCGAGCTACCAACAGTTGAATTAATTCTTCGCATTCAATACTCTTTTTTTAGTTCTGAGCTTCAATGTTTATCCCATACACTCTAAAGAGAGAGTTTGTAAATCATTTATTACTTTCAATGAGTGATTCAAGAGTTTGGGACTCTTGAGGGAATTGTAACCTTACGGGAAGTAAGGGAGAGTGATTGAGAGCGAGCTCAATTACTGTATTGTGGCACCAAGAGCCCATTGAATCTTGGGGTCTAGTGGAAAACTTAAAGGTGTTCTGAGAACTGGACATAGGTCAAGTGGTTAAGACTGAACCAGTATAAATTCCTACATGTTCCTTTTCTGCTCTTCTTGGGTGAAATCCTTCTAAACTTGTTTCCTTCTCTTTATTTGGTTATTTATTTTTAAAAGCCATTTTTTATCACCTAATTCACCCCCTCTTGGGTAAAACTACCACTAATATTTGGTATCAGAGCAGGTCTTTTTGAAAAGGACTTTACCATCTGAAGAGAGATCCTAATGATAGGATTTGGTGATAACGTGTTACTCAAAGGATGCTCAACGACAAACCACCAAGTTTCAACAAAGAAAATTTTACATTCTGAAAAAAAAGAATGAAGATTTTCATCAAAGCTACAGAATACGGTTTATGAGACATGATAGAGCATGGGAGCTATGTTCTGATGAAGACAATAAACAATCAACAAGTTCCCAAGAGTCCAAGTGAGTTTGAAGATGAGGATAAAAAACTTATTCTACTGAATGATAAGGCGATCAACATGCTAACTTATGCCCCGAGTCAAAAGGAGTATTTTTAGGTTTCAAGCCTGGAAACCGTGAAAGAAATGTGGGAAGCACTTGAGATTGC